TAAGATCTGGTCTTGACGAAATCTTTTCATAAAACTAAAGATTCTGTTCCTATTTTTCCAGTCTTTCAGGAAATGAAAGATCTTAGTAGAACCACTTTTCCTTAAGACATACAATGGATGTGTTTTACCCACTAAATGCTTTGTTTCTTCACTTTTTTCAAAGCTGTTCAAAGTTGTGATATTAGTGTTGTGATTTTTGTTTTCACTTAAGAAAGCCAGAGATCAGACTCTGCCATACCTCTTCAGAGTTCTAAATTCACTTCATTGGATTCCAAAGCTGGATAGGCCATAGCTGCTTTCTGCAAGTTTAATTAAAATACGAGCCTGAGCAATAGCTTAAGTGTAGATCTGAACCAGTAATTTGCAGTGTTACCCAGCAAGAGGCTGAGAATTAAGGTGCTCATTTATAGAACTGTATTTGCTCCATTGCTTATAGACAACTCTTTTTTTTTTCTTTTTTCCACAGAAGCAGCTGCTCAGTAGGATGTTGGTTATCTCCCAGAGAAATAATGTGAAAAATCCTACCAACTTTGTTGGGAGTTGGACGGAGCCCTGGCAGCCAGTCTAGGAAAAATGCCTGCTTTGCACAGAAGAGAATGTATGTGTTCAAAACATATTTGTGTGAAGTTTGTGGACTCCTACTGTGGAATCACCTGTTGAAAAATTCCTATATGCATATATTTCTCTCATGCTTGGTGATCATATTATTTTCTACTATGAGAATGCATTTTTATCTTGCCCTGCTAAAGCCTCTGTTCTAGAGTGAGATTAAAAACCTAGAATACTTCCAGCTTGCGAAGTCATTAGCAGTTATGATTTTATTTTAGAATTCCTTTAAATGTCTTCCATTTGTTGATTTAATTTTTTAATCTGAAATATTGCATTTGTATTTACAAAAGAGGTAATTAATCCTGAAAAAAGTGGAAACAGGGAGATATAAATGATTATTTTCATGTATTTGTTTTTAAAGAGGAGCTGAAGACCTGATCTGTATATCATTGAATCATAGAAAAGTTTGGGTTGGAAAGGACCTTAAGATCATCTAGTTCCAATCTCCTCTGCAATGGGCAAGTATGACTCACGCTAGACTATGTTGCTCTGTCCAGCTTGGCCTTGAACACTGCCAGGGGTGGTGCATTTAGTACTTCTTGGGGCAACCTGTTCCAGTGCCTCGCTACCCCCACAGTGAAAAATACCTTCCTTATATCTAACCTGAACTTCACCTGTTTAAGTTTAAAGCTGTTACCTCTTGTCCTGTTGTGGAAGTCCTTAATGGAAGAGTCCCTCTCTGTCATCCTTGTAAGCCCCCTTCAGATACTGGAAGGCTGCTGTGATGCTTCCACACAGCCTTCTCTTCTCCAGGCTGAACAGCCCCAATTTTCTCAGCCGGTCTTTGTATGGGAGGTGTTTAAGCCCCCTCATCATCCTTGTGGCCCTCCTCTGGACTTGCTCCAACAGCCCCATGTCCTTCTTATGTTGAGAACACCAGAACTGCAGACAGTACTCCAAGTGGGGGTATCCATCTACTAGAATGATTTTTTATAGAGGAGAGGGGGAGTACAAAGCTGGCTGGTACAAACCTGTTGCAGGAATGCTTCTCCGAAGTACATGCCTATGTTTTACTACGTCGCAGGTTTGGTATAGAGCGAGTTTCCTAGTTTTAAATTCCCTTATAATTCTTAATGATTGGTTGAAAAAAATATACCTCTGAAACTGAACATATTTTAGTAATTGAAACATTTTTTGATGTTCTTTGTATTATGCATTGCATTATGTGAGGCTAATGTAAAACAGATCTTTACTCACGTCATTTTCTATAAAAATGTCTTGCAATGGAGATTAGAAAGCAGTATTAAAAAATGCCAACTATAGTTGACTTCTAGAAATGACAAAGGAAAGACATCCTTATGAAAATGCTTGGCCAAGTAGCATGATTTAGCAGCTCAGAGACAGACATGTTCAAGCCTTCTGACCCAAGAGTACAAAGATTCTGGAGCATTAACCTTGGGGATGTTCTGGTGCCTCACCAGGAAAATGTAACATGTTCAGGGTTTCTGTATCTCATTTCCTGTTCACAATGACAGCTTGGATGATGCTTTTGTATGTTGTAACAGATACTTTTGCAAGAATTGGAAAAGAACAAATCTGAGATCAACTTTCTTTGTCTTCATATGCACTGTAAAAGGATCTGTGAATAACTTGGGTTTTTTTATTTTTGTGGCTTAGTCTTGAAAGAACTTTATTTTAAAAATACAGTAGGGAGGATAACGTGTAATAGAATAGTAAGATAAGTGAAAGGTATGTTCTAAAAGGATATGGAAAGAAGTTTTATTTTCGGGTATCTCGCCCTTTCTTACAAATCAGAATTTGTAGCTGTTGTAGCAGTTAAGCTAAAGTTATCTTTTAAAAAGTTAAACAGAATTCAAATGAACCACAAAGTGCCTTTTTGTGTAAGTGAACCTATGTGGCTTGTACTACACTTGACAATTCTTTCAGCATATTTGCCCTGAACCTGCCTTGCAATGACATCTGCTGGGAAAAGCAGGAAGGCTTTGTTGTAACTACAGCAGTTTGGAATGAGAGTTAATCTCAGTTAAAGAGTGTAAGTATCCTTTTTTCCAAGCATGTGCATTTCCTTATGCAAAACCCTGGTGATGATGTAGGTAATACAGAGCATTCCAGTACTTATTTTAAAAATGAAACTCAAGTAAGTTAGAATTGAAATTGTTTCTTTATTAGATACAGCCATAGATATTATTGAAATATAAAGGAACAATTACAAAATACCCATAGTATTGGATTTAGGACTTAAAATATTTTAGCTGCCATACTGATGCATGTTCTGAAAAACGGTGATTTCTTTCTTCCAGTTTTACAGGTGATGTAACTCCCACCATTTTTTTCTTAAACTATTGTATTTTTTGTTCTGAACAAAATTTGATCTGTGTATTGTATCTGTCAGTTAACACAGTAGATTTAAACAAATGAAGGTAAATATTTGTGTTCTGCATATATAGGTATTCAAATGTAATTTAAAGATGACTGATTCTTTCTGGTATGCTGGGGTACTTTTGCCAAGTTGACACTGGAAAGATTGAGAAGTAGGGAAAAATGTAAGTGATGTAGAGAACAAACTGCATGTTCTTCTAGGAGAATATCAGAAGTGAAAAATGCCATGTTTGGTAGTCAGGCAGTGTGTGGAGATGGAGGCGGGACAAGAAGTTAGGGGTGGTCCCTGTTCTAAAGTAGCCAAATGAAATGAAAGTGGTATCATAAATGTATAAAAAGAATACTTTAAAAGGAAGTGTCATGGAAGATAATATTTTTTCAATAATGTTATGAAGTAACATGAAAATACTTTGAACATGCGTTCTGTTACTTAAGGATATCAGAAATTTGCAGTTTTTTAAAATCAGCTAATGAGAGATGGACAGTGTATTTATTCTATGGGTGGTAATTTAGAACTGTAGGTTTGGATTATTCAGTAAGTCAGGGCAGCCGTGTGCTAGTTGGATTATTTAACCACATTTTTAGAGCTTCACTTGAGCTGCTGAAGGCCTCATGTAGCTGAGGAAACACCAACTGGCCATGTTTGCATTTTGCGATTGTAATGGAGCTTACTGGATAAACAGATAAATCATTTGTTCCAATTTTTAAGAAATGTTTGAAATATTAAAGATGTAGTGTAAACAAACTCAAACTAGTTTGAATCTTAGACAAAACATGTACAAGTAGCAGGCTGGCTGTGGCAGATAGAGCGTAGTAGGATGCATGAAATTAAACCCAGAAACAGTTATCTGCTCTGTTTGTATCCTTGCAGGCAGTGTAGATGCACAGGAATTCCATGAGAAACATTTTTGTCTCCAAAGCCACAACTTAATTGAAAAGTTTATTGTGCATTACAGAAATTCAGCTATTACAGCTACCTAAACAGAGCTCTACTCTCAGTGCCTACTGCATAAGCATTATGCTGGCTCGGAAGACACTAATGCAGTGTACTTGACAGGAAACTAAAATAAGCTCCCTCTCTCTTACAACTTCAATTGCGGTGCTATCAGAGTGCTGCACAGTCATTAACGCATTTATCTCGCATTATGTGGCTCACCATCTGAGGTTTGTGCATCTAACACGATTGTTTCAATGCAAAACTTAAGTACTTGAATTAAACACAATGTAGGCTTCCCTTGGAACCTTTCGGTGTACATGGTAGGGTGCCATGGGTAAGTGGAAGCAGCAGCATTGTTTTTCATGCAGGAGGCAGGAAAAATACACACATCGGAATACTCAAGTTGGTTATGTCTTTGGTATCTATGGAGATGCTGTCTAAGTGTCACTAAACAACTGCAAATAACAAACATAACAAAAGAACTTTTTTCTGAGCTGACAGCCACAAGGCTAGATTCTGAAAGAATCCTGCAGGATTGTTGATCTCCTCTCTGTTGTCAAGCTTCCAGTTCAAGGCTTTGGCTTGATGTCACTATCCAGTAACTGTGAACAAACACTACTTTTAGAATTATGTCAAACTTTCTGATACCACATACAAATTGTTTGTGGGGAATATCAGCTGTTAATCATAAAGGGAGGCATTTGAATGAAAAAGCAATACATTAATTTTCTTTGTATGGTTTATTTAAAGGAAGTCATCCAATTTGAAAAGCTGGGTTGCTTTCCAGTTTGTTGGTGTGTAACAGTCACATAGAAAATTTGAGAGTAATAGAACAATTTGCATGGGGGGAAAAAGCTTGTATTAGCAAATGTTTCTCAAAAATAAATGACAGGTACCAGCTTCAAGAAAGACTTAAAAATGTAATGGCTGTTGGATGTTGGGCTGAGAATATTTTTTATGCAACACAGGTATTGACAATGTGTGTTAGAGATGATAAGAAAGAGCTTACTGTAGCCAAAGAGTTCAAACCCAGGAATATAGATAAGGTTCTTTAAACTTACTTGGAGCAGTATATATATATTCAGAAAAGAGGCTTATAGCCTGAATAGTTGCAGGATTCAGCCCTTTAACCTATAACTGGGCTGCTTGAACCATGGAGAAAATGCTTCTGAGAAATGTCAAGATGTTTTTAAGTGGTAGTGGCAAGCTCTTGGGTTAAAGCTTGATAATCATCTGGCTAATTTCCTGTGTATTTAAACCAAGCTAGGTGAAAATGAATAGAAATTCTACTAGAAATATGTAACTTTTACAGGATGAAACTGTGTTCCACTTAAGAACAAGGTAGCTGCTGGTAACTCCCTATTTTTTCTTATGTAGTGCTATGCTGAGAAAAGAAAATACTATCCAAGCTGTTTGTAGCTTCTTATTGTAGCTCATCTTCTTGATTATGACATCTCATCATATGTAGAAATCCATGCAGTACTTTAACTCAGGCATTTCAGTGTGCTCTAAAGGAGGAGCTCTTAGAAGCTGCTCAGCAAGCTTCTTGATAGATAACGTCATGGGTTCTTTTTCAACTGTCCTTGATTCCTGGTGACTTGTGTGTAATAATGAGTATTTGTGCCCTCTGAAAGATCTAAAGGTAAACAAAAGCACTGATATTATCTGCCATGCTTGTGTATTTATATATACTTTTTTAAATATAGGAAATGAAATCCCATGGGATTACAGCCCTCCACATTATACAGTATTAAGTTCATAGTCAGCAAACCATTTATTCTTTAAGTCAGATACAAAAATAAAGTAACACATCCTATCTTACGTGATACTTGAGGAGCCTGTGCATAAACAAAACCTGGAACTCACACTTCTGTCTTGCTGTGTTTTAAGTGAAACAATATATCCAAAGATAATTCATGGAAGTCTTAAATGTGTACTGGTGAGTAGAATTTGAAACTGCTTTTTAGATGACCCAGTTGCTGAAGCAGACTAAAATTTGGCCTCTTAGTTACATGATAGTATCTGTTGTATGGCCAAAGCAGATGGGCTGATTGATGCTCAGCATCTTTTTTTTCCCTGTCCTCTCTGATGTCTTGCCCTTAATCTTTCAGCACTTGTACACCACATGCACTGGACAAGGCATCCATCAATGCAGTCAGTTATAGGCAGATAAATAAGATGAAATTTTTTTGCTTATAAACAGATGCTTGGAGTTCTCATTCAAATCTTCTCTTAAAATGTCTTTGTACAGCACACCATATTAAAATCATGCTGCTGTTATTATTGACATGTGTAAGTCACACACAGTGATAATGAAAAGCACTCCAGTCACTTGAATTTTTTATGCTGTCATAATTACAATTATCCTTTGCATCACACAAGTGAAATTTGAATAAATAGGATCCTTACTGAGAAAAACATTATAGATGGTTTCTATTCTTGTATTTTCTTTCTGTGAATGTTACTTAAACATCTCTAACAGATTTGGCCAAAATGACAACATATTCCCTTTTTCATTAGCAACAGATTCTGTTATTAAATAGCTTGAAAACTGAATAATACAGAGCTTAGATCAACTGTCCTTTTATAGTAAATGATGTGGGTTCTCAGTCTTCAAAAGCAGTTCTAGATGTGAATATATTTGAGTATCTGCTTATATGCATTAATAGTGTAAGTACATCTTCCCAGGCATTCAAGAGCCCATTCATTTGGAGTTCTCTTTCCACATTCTTATAATGAGGCTATACGCCTGATGCCAGAGTGATTCTCCTTGGCTGGGACTTTCCTGATTATTTTTTCTTCCAAACATAGAAATATGGTGTTAAGAAGCGGATGAGTCTTCAATCAGTGTTCTGTAAGATACTCAGGTCATCTCTAGAACAAGGTATGCTTCCAGTTGTGAAAACAGTTAAAATGTATTTTTAGATTTTTGTCTTAATTCTGTTAACACGGTTGCTATGTAGACAAAAGCAGAACTTCGTAATTTGATTTCATGTCTGTTAAGAAATACTGTAGTTTTTGTTATTGTTGTACAAAAGTTAAATGTTAGAAAACTGAGGCAGATGCAAGTGTTTTATAATGGAAAATGACCATGTAGCAGTGGCCTTCATACCCAGCAAAGATGATAGAATGTAGGGTGCTGAAACTTTCTGGATATAAGCAAGAGTCGTTGCACAGACCCAGTTAGCTGTTATGATTGAGCAGGTAAGACCTTAACTTCTACCCAAACCTTATATCTGCAGTAGTTCACTTCTCTTCAGTTGAAGAGATCACATTTTATTTTATGGCAAAAGAGTCAGTTTATATTGGCTCTTGACTCTTCTACGCAACAGGATACAAAAACCACCTTTAAAAGCAAGCACGATGGATTTGATGCTCAGCAGTTTGAGATGACTGTGCTCTGTCATTAGAAGGACCTCCTTTCTTGTAAGAGTGTTCTATCTATGCACAATGTTATTGGAAATGGTCACCTATGTGATATGGATAGAAAGTTGCTGATGATCATATGTGGATTACTTTTGTTTCTCATCGTCAGTTTGGTATCTATCCCAGGTTTATGATCTTTTCTGTTCAGGCTTTTTCCTCTTGTGAGGAATGAGTTAACATGTCTGTATGTTTGAAAGCTGAACTGTTGCTTGGCTGTTACAATGACCAGAGATTCTTACAGAAGTTTTCCCAGTTGTCCTGTCTGGGTTTTGAACCAGTTTATACTTGGCAATGTGTTGCTATTGCCCTACTAGTGAAGGTGTCTGATTCAGAAAGGCAGAGCCAGTGCAGAATTGCTGATGTTTTACACTGCTAGCTCTTCAGTCTCTCAGAAAACATCATGTGTAATGCCAAGAAGATAGCTAATCATGGGCTTATGTAAGTAATGCCTCAGTTTAGAATCATAGGATTATAGAATAGTTAGGGTTGAAAGGACCTTAAGATCATTTAGTTCCAGCCCCCCTGTCATGTGCAGGGACATCTCCCACTGAACCATGTTGCCCATGGCTCTGTCCAACCTGGCCTCCAGGGATGGAGCACAATTAAAATGCAAATGATGATTTTTGGCTTCACAGAAAGGGAATAAAGCTGATTTTCAGGATTCTGTTTCTCAGTCATCTTCAGTTTTTACTCAAGATACTTTAGAGAGAGTTTTAGTTTTACAATTACCTAGAAAAATTACTAGACATTGGTGAAACATTGTTCTGTCCTTGGAGAACTAAGATACTTTGTGAGGTTGTAGAGTTCACTTCATTTGGACATTATATTTCACATGAAATATCTAGAATTCGTATGAGAGTCATGTGCCGCAAGACTGTTCTGACAATCGGCCACCCTCAACACTGATGGTCTTAGTCTTCATTTCATTTAATGATTGACTCAAAATCTATCATAAGGCCATAAGATTATCTGATCAAAATACAACCAAGTAAATAAAGCTGTGTCACTGACAATACTGAAGAAAACCTGTGTGCATTTTTTTGCAGCTGAAGAGCCTGCTGGTGCATTTGCATCATAATGGCAGAGATACACAGAAATAGTTTTGTGTTTGGAGAAGTGGTTCAGCAGTTTCTGTTCATGTTGAGGCCTTACCTAAAATAATTCTGACAACGTGGGTGTTATTTCTTGGATGCCAGTCATAGTCCATATGTATAACCACTTAAAGATAAAAGTGGAACTTAATAATTACAGGAGTCCTTCAAGGTGTTGTATGTATGTATACGTCACTTTTTGTCCTTCAGGGTCTTTCACAATCTTTCTCAGATGTTTTTGTTTGCAAATCTTGCTTTGGAGAGAGACCTGAGTTGATGCCTGGTTCACTTCACCCAAATGTGCTCAATATGGGGAAAGAATTCACCCAAGTAACTGTGCATAGCATGTCTCTGAGAACCCCTGACTGAAGCAAGTGGTTCTGTTGTCATGACCAAAGTTTTTCTGTTGGTAGAGTTCTTTGGTATTGTTGGTTTGTTTTTTTGTGTTGCTTAATGTGTGTTTTGAACCCCTGAGAAACATTTTCAAGTGAAGCACATATTTAGTATGGAAGTGTTGCTTACATGGTTTTTTTTTGGTGGACTAGGCTAGAAATTGAATCAAGAGATGTGTATTAAAACAGTTGTTGAAACAACAGTATATTGTGTGTATTTTTTCTGTATATAACTGGAAGAGCTAGATCCTACAAAAAAAGGTATTATGCCAAAAGGTAGGAAAGGCCATGGAAAAATGCTACTATATTTACTGTCAGAATTTTGCACTGTAGGCTACTTGAGGAGGTTTGATATGGTTCAGATAAACAGATATAGTAGCCAATGCTTATTTTGACAGAGCAATTTTTCAATGATGAATGTCACTTGTGGTGTATATTGGCAATGTCTGGCATCATTGTGATACCTGAGGATCATCTCTGATCTGCAGGAGAATCTCTACTGCACAGCTAACTTCTTGCTGACTGTATTTTTCCCAGTGTTTGGCTGTAGCTTAATAATAACTAGTTATTTTCCTTACAGACATCTTTTGTCAGCCTCACAACATATTCATAAACAAAATCATTTTACAGGGTTGTGAGCTTCTTGAGTTTTCAGTGTTCACAGTAGCTTCCTTTGGGTTTGCCTAACAACCTTTGTACTGGGGGCATATGTTGACTGAAGGGTTACTCTGATTTTTTTTTTTCCTGTGTGTTTCTGTACTTTAGAAAACTTTAGATTAAGCTAGAAGTATTAAAAAAAACAAACAAAAAAGGATTTTTTTTAATCATGGTTTTCTCTCAATTGTTTAGGAAACCTAAAATATAAAGGGGTTTTATTATGCTGTAGCTTGTGAACACATTTGCTAGCATTAAACTTTTTTTTGTTCTTGTTAAAATTAGCTTATTTAACAACCACATCGTACTGAAAATTGTAATCTTTTATCACTTTGGATAAAAGCTTCTCTCCAAAAGAGAAGTATTATTGACAGTTGTAAGTATATTTCTGTAATTATCTCCTATAGCTCTTCTGAGATGCTATGAGTAATTTTATTTTACAATTATTTTCTCTTAAAACACAAATACTCAAAATATGTAGCTCACTTCTCTGACTACAAAAGTATGCTCAAAAAAAAAAAAGCTGAAGTAATGCCCTGTTGATCTCAAAGACAGACCTTGCAGAATGCCTGTTAAAGGGTATCTTGTGTTAAGAGAAATGATGGAAGGTGAGAGGGACTCAGTCTGGAAATGATTACTGAACTGGCAAAGCTTAAACTGTGTTTTGAAGTATTATATTCCACTGCTATTTTTTAATTCCTCTGGATATTTTTTGTCTCAAAAATGACCATTTGCAGACCTTTTGAATGTTGCACTGTTGGCACTCAGTGCAGACAGAATAGGTTCTCTTGTACTAATACCGTGTGCCAATACTTCCCTGACTTGTCTTGTTTCAAACTAAATGGTTCAAGTTGTCAAGCTGTCTTTAGGTATTCCTTTCTGCAAAAAACATTAAATTCCTTGCTTTTGTGTTACTAGAACTGGGATGCCTGGTTACACCAGTCCTGTTTTAACTGGCATTTACATAGCACGGCATTTAATTTGGCACAATTTTTTTTTTTGCATAGGTTGGAGTTTATCTCTCCCCCCCCCCCTTTTTTTTTCCTATATAATTGTAGGGAAGA